GAACAGTCATAAAATTTTGATTAGATAATCGGATATTTACGTCTTATACAGCGCTCAGAAAATAACTGCACTAATGTTACAGCTGTCCAACTGATTCTTCATGCTATATGCTTTACAGTGTAATAGTTGATGATTATTTATCTTCTCAACGAATATACATGTGTGCTATGTACCCCGTTAAGTCTCACCTAGAGTTACGTGAGGGCTCTATTAACTAACGGTTAAGTTTTTGAAAAGATGCTCGTCCTTGAATACTTATTGCAAACACATTTCGAAAAAAGAATCTTTAATCGTTCTCATACAGAGATTTGATTCATCTTTTTTTTCGAAATCTATACGATCAAAATTAATCGAGAACGAATGGATGGCTTGAAAGAGAAAATAATATTTTCTAGTAAAAATTAGTACGTGTAAAATATCTTGTCGTTTCACTCAGTCGACTTAATATAAGAAGCTGTAATTTTTTTCTGAGAACTAATTAGCCACTATATAGCATAAAACAAAACACATAGCCTACATTTAAGCTGATGTAACCGGTATGAAGTATCTCATTATTAGTAATATAGATAAAGCAAGTGAACTTAGTATTTGTTTACCAACCCAAAATATTGAGTAAAGTGACGCAATGGTAAACGTTAAGATACTACTTTTTCAATCCAAAACTGATAAGTTTTTCAAGATAATAACACAGTAATGTTTAAGCCAAAACACACACACACACACTTTTCTCTGCATTTATTAGCAATTAACGATCTTGCTGTTAGACCAATATCTATCTTCTTGCAGTTTCCGCCTAATCAACTGGGTATACTTAGCCGAAAATACGAGTTTACAGATAAAAGAAGAGATTTCTTTTTTGTTCTCTGTATTGTTTTTACACTATTTTATTTCTTATGATAATGTTACTTGAACAATTATTGCCGTAACGTTCGATATGATATTCTACGGATGTAGAATGTTGAAAAATTTTGTCATGCACAACCATCATTTCATGCTCAAACATATACCCATTCAAACATTCTAAAGGTTACATGAGAATAGAATATTTTTCGTTTTTAACAAGCAACAATAAGATGTACAAAAACAAAAAATAAATAAAAACAAACATATGTAGGACGGAATATTCAAGGAAATAAATAGATAACACTGTGTTGAGAAAAGATTCTTCTTGCTTTTACTATTAACTACATACTGTTCGATTAACATTTAAATTTAACCATTCTCTAAATTGATTTCCAATGACATTCATCCATCGAATATTAGCATGCATTTTTTCGATTGACGATAAAAATGCTCGTTCTGCTATAGATAAATCTTGTGTATCTGAAATAAATGCTTCGACAGTTCGAAGTTCTTCTTCTGTATTAACATATTGTAGTACACTTTCAACAATATTACTCAGAGTAAAACTTAAACCACCGAGTTTTTGAACTAATTCGGTCCAATGTGTTGAGATATATTTCCATGCCAGTTTTTGACCACCTAGAATAAAATAATATTCCTAATTTGATTCAGTATATGATATATAATGATATCTACTTACCTGGTTGTACACTAATACGTCCAATAAATGTTGAAGAATCTTGTAATCGAATGTACTGTCCTTTTAATGTATCATTCAATAACTCACTTAATAATCGTTCACTTTTCGTACATGTTAAAGCGTAACCGAAACGATTTTTTTCTACTTGATCATTTGTCGATTTATATTTATCTAAGAGAAACTCAAAATCAGCGTCTGTTCCACTTTTAACACCTTGACAATAGACCGCACTACGATAATCAGGATTTATCGAATATTTTGTTGGATTTTGTTTCCATGATGAATATTCTTGTACTGCTCGATTAATACATTCTGTTAAACCATTTGCACATAAATCACCGATAACAAGTGAACCAAGTTGACGTTTTAAATAATTATCATTACCAGCTGAAAACCAGCCTAATTGAGTATAGATTGGTTTTTCTAAATTTTGAACATATTTTTGAAGTTGTTTATATATTGTACTACTCTCATTTTGACTAAACATAATAAGTGGATATTGAATATTTGTAGAAAATGCTGAAAATGGAATATATTCTGTTTCATTACATAAATATGTTGATAATTGTAACGGTACAATTGCATTCAGATCTCTCGAACGAGCTAAATTAAACGCATCATCAATTAATTGTGAACGAGTTACACTACTAAATGACGTATTATAATTAGGAGATTTTAATGCAGTAATAATTCGATTCCAATTATCTGAATCATAATTGACACGATAAAAGCCGAATTGATTGATATTAAATAGTAACCAATCTGTGAATCCTGCTCTTACACGGATTGTCTTATTTTCATTTGGTTTTAACCATTCAAACATTGATACATTTCTATTTGTTGATTGATAATTATACGGAATATACCATCGAAATGGTGGTTTAAATGGATTAATATATCTCGATGTTTGATTTGTCGCATTTGAATCTAAAGTAAAACGGTTTTGTCGAATTGTGGCTTGATTATTCGTATAATTTCTTGTAACAGTAAGTAATGGATATCCTTCTTGTAATGTCCATGTATCCATTATGGTTTTGATTACCTCACCACCGAGTATAGACGACGATGTAGCATCGGTCATAAATTGCCATAATTGATCTTGAACTGCGTTTTTATACGCAAACGCATTGAGATAGTTTGAAACACCCCGATAGAATGTTGGCTCTGTTACCACCGTATAGATCATTCGTAATATCGACGAACCCTTATCATCTAAAGAGAAGAGTATGATGAACATATTGTAAGATAATAGAGCATTAATTTACATGATATAGCATCGAATATTGAATTAATGTCATCTGGATGTTCAACATCTACACTTATTGGATGACTGGAAAATAAACTATCCATGACAAGTGCACGTTGTAATGTAGCTGTTACAAAAACATCTAATGGATGAAAATCAGGATTAGCATGATTTAAACCCAACACTTCTACCCATGATGCAAATCCTTCGTTAAGCCTAAAACAAAACTTATTTATTTATACAGTTCAGATTTAATGTTAAGATTAGTTTACCAGATGTCATTCCACCATTGAGGTGTGACAATGTTACCAAACCATTGATGTGCAACTTCATGTGAGACAACTTCTCCAACACGTAATTTATTTGCTAGATTGCCTGTTACATTATTGTATAATAGAGCAGTCTCTCTATATGTAATCAATCCCCAATTTTCCATTGCGCCTACAAATTACGATTGAAAATGATAATGAAAATGTCATAACTTTTTGTCCGTCCATAACGACGCCTTTGTACAGTACAGAGCGGTCGAACAAGATCTCGATCTGAGGCGCCGCCACAGACGGAAACGTTCGCTTGGCCAAGCCGATGAGACAGCATATAGTATTAGTCCAAGATAAAATCATTTTTAATCAATTTCTTACACATGAGAAAGATTGAATAGCATACCTGCTGAAAAATCTGGAATAGCAAAATGATCACATTTTCTTAACGGATACGATACATTATACGAATCTTCAAAATAAGAGATAACATCAGAAGCAACATCAAGTGCATAATGACCTTCAAAATTTTGAATGGCTTCTGGACGACCACAAACTGACACTGTTATATCTCTATTTGTAACATTTTTAATACAACTAAAATCTGTTACAACAAATGCTACTAAATAAGTTGACATAGGTGGTGTAATATTGAAATAAGAATGTATACGACCATCGGGTAGTGGTATGATTTTTATTAATTCACCATTTGATCGAACAGTTGAAAAACTTGAATCATGTATGATTGAAATGGAAAATTGTGCTTTCATCGCTGGTTCATCAAAACATGGGAATACTTTTCGTGCAACAGTGGGTTGCATATGTGTTGCTGCAATATTATGTGTCACTGTTACATTATTAATCGTTACATTGTATCTACTTAAATAAAAACCGGCCATTTCTCGATCTAATTCTGTTATATAATATGTATCAAACGTGTATAGATGGTTTAATTGACATTGTTCACTTAGACGACACACCATTACTTCGGTTAAATTAATAAAGGACCAATCAACCAAAATATTTTTTCGACTATCGATTCGTTTCAGCGTAGCTGATTGAATTCTTAGATTTTTTGCGTGAATTTTTAATTCCGATGTTGGACGACTACAATTCACTGTGATAGTGATATGTCCATTAAATCTAGTATCAGGTTCAATATTATTTGGAAGTGTACTCTTTAACTGAATATCAATTTCAAGCACATACAAATTAGGTATCCAATCTGTTGGTAATCGAACATCTAATGTACGATTAATAAACCATGCGAAAATATCGATTTCAGCCTTATTAGTCCATTCCATATTTGCTCGTATACGTTCAATTGTTGCTTTAAATTCTGCGGCTGCTGCACCTTTATCTTGAATTCCTTCAGAAAACTGTTCAAAATCTGTTAAATGACTTTCAGTATTAAATCGAGCTGTTATATCTTTGATAAGATCAGCAAAACTCAATGAACCACCTAACTCTTTGAATAAAAAATGCCATCGTTTTTGTATAAATGACCAACATTCTGTTTCGGCCACATAATTACGACATATCGATCGTATACCAGACAGAGCATCTTGTCGTCGTACAACGTTTTCATTTAAATGGATGTTTAATAAATGCCGTAATAATTCAATATCTCGTGTACACGTTAGTGCTAATTGAATACGAGCTTTTTCTAGTGGATCATTTGATAATTGAAATTGATTTAATAAAAATTGAAATTCATTTCGTGAACCTAAACGAATCGCTGTACAATAGACGACACGACGTTGATTAGCATCGATATTATTCACCAATGGTTGATTTTGCCATTCATCAAATTTTGTCTTTGCAATTGTAATACAATCGCTAATATCGTATCGACAGGCAGCTGATATAATAAGATCACGATGTAACGATGAAAGCCAGTCTTCAGTGGGTTTTTCTGTCCATGTTAAACTATTATAAATTGGCATTATCAAATCGGTCATGTATGCTTTGAATAGACTGAATGTGGGTGTATGACTCAACATTTGTTCAATATAACTTACACCGGATAATATACGCTCCCAGACAATATATTTCTCTTCTTTTGTAGCATATTTTAACATGTCGAATACCAGTGAGGCTGGAACAATACCTACAACATTAAAATGATTAATTCAATTTTAAAAAATCTCTTTTGTTCGTGTATGTATGTGTGTGTGTCCCACCTGCACGAGCCAGATTAAACACATCGTCAACAAGTCCCGCTCGTTCTGTTACCGTAAAATTTTCGTGTCCATTTATAAGTTGTTTTATAATTAAATTCCAATTTCGTTCATCATAATTCGTTCGAAAAAATCCTAATAAATCGGGATTAGCTAATAACCATTGATCGGGTGAAGTTGATATAGACGGTATATTGTATACTGTCCGTTTATTTTTATTAAGCCATGTGATGTCTGATTGGTTTATTAATCGTGAACGTATTTTTAGTGGTATCCACCAGAGATAATTATGTTGTGACTTTGGTGGTTGAGCATCGACATCAAATAAAAATTGTTTTTGAGTAACGTTAATGGTGTTTGATACGTAGTCTCGATCGATTTGTATATACGGATAACCCATTTGATCAGTCCATGTACTCATAATTTCTTCTAATGTCGTGTTCGTCGGAAGAGGTATGTGATCATCTATCATTGCTTGTCCCATAGCAGTCCATAAATCTGTTTGTTTTGCTGTCTGATATTGATGTTTGGTCAAGTATTGAGTGACACCTTTGTCAAATGTTGTACTACCCATAAAATTTCTCATCATTCGTAATATTGATGAACCTTTCGAATATGTGATAGAATCAAATATTGAAGTTAACTGATCATTATGAGTTATTTGCATATTTATCGGATGGGAAAATGAGACAGCATCATTTTGCATTACAGCTAACCACCGTTGACTAATGAATTGTTCATACGAATGCCAGTCGGGATGAATACGATCAGTGCCGATAAATTCCATCCATTTAGCAAAACCTATGAATATAGAACAATCACAGGCGCCGTCTAATTTTCCTTTTATTTGTATTTCGAATTGTGCGTTCAACAACCGTCATAAATAATGCTTGATAGAACTAGATCGAGAGTCGAATTTTTTACTATTCAACATTCAAGATCCTGAGATACGTTTTCCTAAAAAATGAGTTCTAACTACTACACTACAGAATAATTTTAAAACGTAGTTCTACTGTACTCTGTGGAGGTTAAGCCTTGGAACAGCGACGAAATTCTTGCGCTTGTTCTTTCGTAATGCAAAATCTAATAACAGTTGTATATATAGAACTGTTGAGCACTGAATGTCCACGATTAGTGCCCTATTGCAGTTGTAACTACATTCGTCCTAATTTTGAATTACAAGTTCCGGTATGCTCAACGAATGAGGATAAAACTGATTTGAATCTCTAAAATCCACAATCAGTTTTGTCCTCTTTGTGCTCAACTCTGTGTGTTTAACCAACTGTTTACATCATGCTGAAGGTATACAGGCTAATTAGTTATTAAACACTAGTTTCACCTTGTAAAATCTGTTGAAGCCTTTACTCAGATTTGATAATAACGTATTTGATATATTTGATTTTTCATTTGATCACAGCATTCAGAGTGTCTTGTACAAATTAGAATCGATCCATCTCTCACAATTTCCGTATGACATCGGATTTACTAAGAGTCTATCAAAATTTTTCGTGTCACGATTGTATTAAGTATTTAGTTCGACCGAAAGTAGTTTTTTAAACTTTATTCTGAAAACAAACATTATCAAGCGACTCAGCATAAGCGTTAACCTGTGCTTCATACACTTCTCATCAGAGGCCTACAACCTCACCCGACTTTGAGTCGGGTTCGGGTATGACTACGCAATCTGTCGGGTTTGAAATTTTCTTCGATGAATGTTCAACACTAGAGCTGATCACTTTTTAAGCGTTCTTTTAGAAAACAAACAGGGTACAACAATTTCACACGCATTTTTTCACTTTTTATGTCAAAAAACGCTCAAACTTTTAACTAATTGTCAAGTGTTAGATCGGGTTCAGTTTAGAGTAGCGATCGGGCTCGGGTTCCAAAGAGGAGCGTCAGATCATGTTCGAGTCTAATAAGTCCAACCCGCACAGTACTCGACTTCTAATGGACGCAGTAAAAGAGGCCGATTTTAGAAATGTTGCCTATCAAATAGTAGAAGATGTAACTCTCGATCTAGTTTCTACTTCTGAATAGGAATTTAATGTGAACCAATCTTTATTGCATTAATACTTCATCTACTTTCGTGTCATACCTTCATTGAGCCATAAGTCATCCCACCAAGCAGGTGATACTAAATCGCCAAACCACTGATGAGCTAGCTAAATATAAGAGCGAACAAGCGAACAATCGTTTCTTTTCTTTTTAATTTTTTTATTTACCTCGTGTACAATAACAAATGCAACATCTTGTTTATTTGCCGGTGTTGATGTTTTATTATTATAATACAATCGTGTTTCACGATAAATAATAATTCCCCAATTTTCCATTGCACCCGCATCAAAATCTGGCACAGCAATGTGATCTATTTTTTTCAATGGATAATCGAGATCATATTGATTTTCAAAATCTTCAATATTTTGACTAGCCACTTGTAATGCATAATATAATTCTTGTACTTTTTCTGGTTGTGCGCAAACATTTGTAATAATATTACGACGTCGACCAGTTGTCGCATTTGTAACACATTTGAAATCTGAGACAACTAAAGCCAATAGATAGGTACTCATCGGTAGAGACTCAGCGAATCTTGTTGTAACCCAGTCACTATCATTTGGTACCGGTGTTGGTGTACCAATTACTTCCATATTACTTCGCGCTGAATACCGTTTATCGTGTTCAACCGTAATTGTAAATCGTGCTTTTGATGCGGGCTCATCAAAACATGGAAGTGCTCGTCTAGCAGCTATTGGCTCCATTTGTGATGATACCAAATAACCACGAGTTTTATCTGAACGAATGTATGAACTCAAATAGAAGCCGTATGTGTCATTTCTTAATTCACCAACGTATTGTATATTGAGTGTAGGTAATGAACCCACTGTCAAATTTTTATTTAACATAATGATAAAAAAATCTCGTTCTACATCAGATGAATGAGATATTACTTGTACATTGTCTCTGCTCATTAAACTAACACTCAATATATCGATATACTTTTTATGTAAAACAATTCGATTTGTTGGACGTGTTATATTCAATAAGATATGCACTGTGCCATCAAATATTGAAAAACGTAAATTATCGTTTGTGATGTTTAAATAGGGCTTTACCCAAAGAAAATAATGAATAGGAACAACATCGGATGGTAAACGTTGACTTGCATTTGTTTTATGACTGCTAGCCGAAAGGTATTCAGTTATCGCATCAATATTCTTTTTTTTCCAATACAGTGCTGCATTAATCTTATCCATTGATAAAATAAATTGACGAGAGGCTGTACCTAAACAGAAGATTTACGAAAACTGAAGACTGGGACTGATTCAATAGGGCACGATTCAACGATTTTAATTCTGACGACTAGTGGTATTCATAGCATCGGTTTGTCTATGATATTCTGATATGAAGAGTCGGTCTAGGTCATTTACACACTTTATCTTTTGCCGTATTTTTATGGGCTATCTCATAGCAGTCGTCAGAATCATAGGTAATTCGATACTACATCCAAGCGACTAAAATCGAACGGGTTGCGCAGCTCGGTCATCCTTCTTCTCCAACTTTATTCAAAAAATAGTGAAGAGTATTCCTATTTTCTTTTTAAAAGAATAGTTCTGAAATTCTTGTTGTGAGAGTGAGTAGACCACTCGATAGGTGCTAAACTCAAAGTATCTATAGTATTGAGACACTCAGTTCTTATAGACATGTACCTTTATCTGGAATTGAATCTGAAAATGCTTCAAATTCATCTCGTTGTACATGTGTAACAAATCGACTTGTAACTGAGTCAATAATACCACTCAATGATAATGATTTACCAAACTTTGCAAATAATTTTGACCAATTTTCACGAATATAATTCCATGTTAATTGGTTTGCTTGAGGTGAGCGTGCAACACGTTGTAATGATGCTGCTATATCTTGTTCTCGAATAGCCGATTTATCTTTTAAATGTTGATTAAGAAAAAATGTTATTAAATTATTATCTTTTGTACATGCCATTCCAGTTAATAAATTTAATACTTCACTAGCCACTGTTTCACGCTGTAAACGATCCCATAGAAAATAAAAGTCGTCCATTGTTCCATCACGAATTGCTATACAATAAACAGTTGAACGTAATGTGGCTGGAATTTGATTTAAAGATGGATTTGTTTTCCATCGAAGAAATTTACTACGTGCTATATCAATACAATTTTTGTGTTCGTATCGACATGCAGCTGATAGAACACTTGGTTGTAGAAGTGCTGTTAGCCAATCTTTTGATTGATCGACGGCATCCCATCCAATTCGATTATAGAGTGGTAATACAAGTTCGAGAAAATATTGTTGTACATTCATTAAAATTTCCGTACTACTTAATAAATCTTCTTGATATCTCATTGCTGAAAATGCAGCTGTCCATGGTACAAATTCTTTTTCATATTTTAAATAGCGCATAAGATCATATGCATCGGTAGTACTTATTGTTCCTGTACGAGTTAGAGCGAATGTATCATCGATTAATGCACCACGAGTTATAATTGGTATTCGGGAATGATCGGTATTAAGTTGTTGAACAATGAGACGAAAATTTTCTTGATCATATTTAGTCCTATAAATACCAAGATAACCGGGATTAGCTAAAATCCATTTGTCATTAGCTGTGGTTATGTTGATTGTTTTTGTTGTTTCATTTACCCAAATTAACTAGAATAAAAAACATGTAAAGGAAAATGTCAGCAAAAGAATTGTAGATAATCAAAAACGCTTACCGGTTGACTATCTACTCTATTAACTGTTTGCATATCAAAATATTTAAATGGTATCCACCATTTCTCATGTTTATCTGTCGATGACAGTAGACTAAATGGTGTTTGCTTAATATGTAGTTGTTTTATGTTGCCATATGATCGTTGAATGTCAAGAATTGGATAGCCAGCTTGTGTTGTCCAACCATTCATTATTTTACTTACAGAAATAGTGTTGTTAGCTGCTTTACTTAAATATGACCATAGATCGTCTTGTGTAGCCGACTCATAGCTCAAATTTTTTAAATAATTTTGTATTCCTTGTTGAAATGTTAAATTTCCTAAGAACATACTCATCATACGGATAAGTGTTGCGCCTTTATCATAGGTAATGGCATCAAATAATTGAAAAATGTCAGCAGGATTAGTTGAGTTAATACTAATAGGACGAGAAGTAGGTAATGAATCAGCTTCCATAAACGAAAATATTTTTTCAACAACAAAACGTTCATCTTGTTTCCAATCTGGTTCTACTTGATCACTAGCCAATGTTTCCATGTAACTAGCAAAACCCTCTTTTAACCATCTGAATAGGAAATAAAAATGCATTTTATTAAACTATAAATTATAATTTGATTAAAAATACTTACAATTCACCCCACCATTCTGGTGATACCAGATTTCCAAACCATTGATGGGCAATTTCGTGTGCGACCACTGTTGTTATATATTGTTTTCGTGATGCTGATACTGTTTTCTCGTCAAAAAATAGTCCCACTTCTCTATAAATGAGTAGACCATAATTTTCCATGGCACCTGCTCCAAAATCGGGCACAGCAAAATGATCAATTTTTTCTAGAGGATAATCCATATCATAATATTCATTGAAAAAATGTAATGATTTAGTTGCTACTTCTTCAGCATAAGATAATTGTTCTAAAATATCCTTTCGTCCACATATACTTGATCGAATAATATGACTAATATTATGTCGTCCTCGAATTTGTTGTGCAGGTCGACAACCAAAATCTTGTTCAAGAGCAACAATTAAAGCAAGAATAAATGTTGACATTTTTAATGTTGGTTTAAATACAGTTAATTTTGTACCATCATTAAAATAAGTTTCATTTTCTAATTCTGTATTTGACCATATTCGATAAGATGAATTAAATCTAACACTAATTTGAAATATTGCTTTTCTTGCTGGCTCATCAATACATGGAAATGCTGTTCGTGCATGAGTTGGCTCCATTTGAGATGTCATCAATGTTCTTGGTTGACTTTTTGTATCATTATACTTACTAATATAAAATCCACTTAAACTATCAGAAAAGTTACCTGTATAATTAATATTTAAATGATAGACGGTATCCTGAACGAAACTTGAATCAAATGTAATTATCATGAATTCATTGTATTTGTCATATTTCCATGTTTGATATTTTGGACTTCTCAACGTTCCAGATAATATTAGAATTGATGAATTATCAATGATTAGATCGATCATATGTAAATGAATGAGATTTGTGCTTTTTAGACATCGAAACTGATAATCTAATACACCTTTATATGTATTATTGATTAAATCTGGTTCAAGATAAATTTTATAATATTCTTGACGTAATGTAATAGGTATTCGTGTAACAGCAGATGAAGTTCTAGTATCCGAGCCTGAATTATAAGGT